ATTTACAATTTTTGTATAATAAACTCTTAGTGAATTTATTATACAATTATTTAGATTTATTCATATAATGTTTGGTCTGCTAATTGTTAGATCTATTTTATAACACCTTCACTCTCTAATTAAAACTAATTTTAATAAAGTATCGTGTATAAGAATAATAAACTCCACGAAACAGCATTTTAAACTTAAATAAATTATTTGTTAGAAAACAAGTTCAGTTTTCTTATTAACTGATGATGCGATTTTAGCTGCGTGACTTTTATTAATAACTATTAAAGAAATTATTTAATTACTCTAGGTAGATAGAATTAAATTGTTAAAGAATTTTAACATAAATCTAAAAATATAATAAATATAATAAATAATGTTATTTAAAAATTTTCTTACCGTTCCAAAATTCCTCAACTAGATTTTCATAATAAAATTAAGGCGTTTGTTTTATTCAAAAATTCAAATTCATTATTTTTATGGCTTTATTACCATCGTACTAGTCAGCTCAATGATTATACTAATCAACATGTCCAACATTACATTACCTTTGGATTTTAATTAAAGCAGGTATGTACAACGCTTATTGTGAACATTTATTACCTCTGTTTAACTATTACTAACTAATATGTAATCTAATTACAATAAAATGAAACTGAGTCACCAACAAAATCCAATGTTATAAATTTGTAAATCAAATTTATAACGTATCGATATCTAAAAAATTTGAAATATTCAATTGATCTGTAAAAATTTCAGAAAGATACCATTTCGCAGTTTGGTTAACAGCAGAGTGTACCAGTAAATTATTTGACATTTCAATTTTTCTTAGTTATTCATATTAACCAGGTTAGTTTCTTCATTTAACATAGAGTTATCGTCTGCATCATCTTCATCCTCAATTAACGACAGCCATTGCTCTACCAAATATCTCCACGAATCTACTAAATTCACTTGGTTATCGGCTTTATCATCGATATCCATATCTGTATTTTCTTCAGATGACACATTATAGTAAATTCTGCTTTCACTAAAATTATAATTTTCTTCATGATTGCTTTCTTCATTACGTTCGAATTCTTTATAATTTTTGAATCCTCCGAATTCTTCATAATTTTCAAATCCTCTGAATTCTTTATAATTTTTGAATTCCTCTTGAAACTCATTACTCTCATGACTTGCATTTATTCTATAACCTTTGCTTAGATTATCTGATTTAGAAGTATCATTTTGGCTAAGATTTATATTTAAATTTGAGATTTTCTTCGTTCTTCTGGCTTGTTTTATTTCATAATGTAAACTTGTCATTGAAACCACTTTATCGTACTATTAAATAAAATAAAATAAACTATTAGTATAATTGATAAA